TCTCTTTTACCCCAGTAGTAGAGAATCTTTGGCCCCACCTCACTCACCACTGGACTGGCCAATCATTACGCCACACCGCTGACTGCCTGTTTGGAACCCACCTACAGCCCCCCACCCCCAATCCCCTTCCCCCAACTAGAGCTCGCTCGATCTCTCCCGCTGTAAACAAGTTCGGGCCTTAATCCTTGTCCCGTTAAACCCGAGCACAGTTAATTGAGTTTGCAAAGACAAAAAAGGGGATTCCGGTAAGGTCCCGCTGCAGCGGGTGCCGCTATAGTCATGTTCTACTGTATTGTGCCATGTTGCTGTGTTAGCATTGCTAAGTTCTATCTCACATTTTCTGCCGTTTTAAGTTACTAAGACCATAACGTCAGAAACTAATAAATGTTCTATCTGCTCTAGATCTATATCAAAATCATAATACCATCCAGAATCGTTATCAGGATATTCAAAGAATTGTACATGTATTTGAAAAAGCTTGACATGTTGTGAAACTCAAAGATTTTTAACGTCAAATTTCTCAAAACTAGGTACAGAGCAGATAGAACTTTGTAATTCTAGGGTAGCGATAGGTTACCAGTTCGTATTAATTCAACTCTAGAAAACCGATTGTCTCTCAAGCATCCAGAGTACTTTCGGTATAAGGTGGGCAAAATCTATGTGCCCAACGACATCGCTGTCCTAACCCTGGAAAAGTGCGCGACGATCACGAAGACCGTTCAAATCATTCCCCTGGCTGTCCGGGGGAGCTTTGTGAACCAGCGGTGCAGCCTTACCGGATGGGGCGTCAACAGACGAGGTATGTCTTTATCTTAAAAAATAGATAAAATAATACGTTATTGTCCCAGAGGGACATTTTTCTTAGCTTTCAATGTGTACGCCTGTGTTCTACGCCTCCGTCGACACAATGTAACATTTAGAAGGCGGGTTCCCAACTCTGCCTGTCACGGCCAAACCGTGTTGAGATGGGTACAACATCCCAGCAGCAAGACAGAGATACTCGATAAATCCCCCAACCCACTCTGGAATCGAACTGATGTGTCCTGCGAGCGACAGCAAAAGTTTCGCCGCTTTACACCATAGATGCCGGTAGGAATGTCTTGAACGTCTTTATTCCTGCGTTAAGTCAGCAAGCTGTTGAAAAGTTCTAAGCTTTCAAAATCCCAACAGTAAGAAGGAGATACTCGATAAAAATCCTCCCTCCCCCCACTCCGGAATCGAACTCGGGTGTTCTACGTGCGACAGCAAAGTTCTTAACCGCTACACACCATAGATGCCGGTAGGAATGTCTTGAACCTCTTTATTCCTGCGTTACTCCAGCAAGCTGTTAAAAACGTCTAAGTCCAGATCAGAAAGCCAAGTTTTTCAAGAGAAAGTAAATAAACTGTTTCACTTTTGTAGCAATTGTACCTACATGATGTATGTTTTTTTGCTTTTTATTCAGTGTGTAAAATTGAGTTTCAACAAAATATTTACTTTTAGTTTTAGTAAGGTTTTACGGCGCTCGCAACTGCATAAGGTCATATTATGAGCGCCTAGGGGTGGATGTCAACAGAGAAGTCCAAACGGGGAATCAGGCTTACTCTGCTCACTTCTCTAGCCTCAACAGCATAAAGTCTGCTTCGACTATCAAGGCACCCCGGAAATAGCAGTTCACAAGAGAGTGACAAAGATACAAAAGAAGTAGAGGAAAATGACCATAGTAAGGATTAGGAAAGAAAAAGCCGCAGTTCCATTGATAAATCAGCCCGTTTACAATTCTACTGTGCATAAGAACATGTTAATATCCTCCCTTTGGGAATGGCCTAAAGACACTTCAGTCAGTAGCACTGCCTTCAAGGAGGGGGGGAGAGATAGAGAGAGAGAGAGAGAGAGATGTTTTTTGGGGGGGGGGGGGGGGCAAAAATATTTATTGAGCACATACTACTGATACCGCAGATTAGGAAACAGCAATTTAAAAAAAAATAGAGCTTAGTGGAGGTGAACCATTGGCTAAGGGTTTGCTTTTCTTGCGTCCTTTTCCCATCGGTACTGTAACTGTGTGGCGTCGGTGGTCTAGTAGTTAGGCTGTCAGGCTCGTCATCGAAAGGTCAAGGGTTCGAAACCCGTCAAGTGCCCAAAGTTGTGTCCTTTGGATAACCACTTTACACGAATTTTCCATTAATTTCTACCACGTCACTTTTTACTACTTTATGTTTTTGTTTGACTCCTTGGCTCCCAGCTGTCACGTAAACTATTTGATCTCTTTTCTTCTCGTCCAGACATCGATAATAGGTTCATCTTGCAAAGAACAGAGACGACCATCATCTCCAATAAGCTGTGCCGGGACTTCTGGAGACTGGCCCGGAGCTCCATCTCTAAGAAACAGCTGTGCACGCTCGACTGGCCCTACAAGCTGAGCACCGCTTGCAGCGTAAGCCCTGGCTTTTCTAGATACGTTTTAGTAATCAATTTACGGCACTTGCAACACATTTAAGTCAAATCAGTGCCAAAGAATATCTATATCTATATCTATATCTATATCTATCTATCTATCTATCTATCTATCTATCTATCTATCTATCTATCTATCTCTATCTCTTTCTCTCTTTCTGCCCCCACCTTCTGCCCCCACCCCCTCACCTCCTTTGCCCCCTCCTCTGGGTTCCTGACTCTTTCTGCAGCCTTTCTACTGCTACTCCTAGGCTCCTCCTTACTGCTGTCTTTCTGCCACACCCCTGATCTTCTGGTAGGAAAGATCTACACCTAGCCTTCTCGGACAAGGGCGAAAAATCTCGGAGGAGATC